ATTTCGTGCAACTTCCACCCTCCTTAAGGAGACCTTTACGATTTTATTTGTCCAATTTGAAAAGGTTTCCTCTTACATACATTAGTTATCCTTGTTATTTCTTTAAGTAGAAAAAGTATATTATACATTTGATATAACATTTAGCATGTATTTTGAACTACTATATGCATTACAATGAATTATGCCGCGTAAATTAATGTAAATATTACTGACGTACTATTGTACTGCACTTGTAATGCACTGATTCCAGATGATGAGTTTTTAAAATAGGTCTAGTAGTTTGTGAGCTTATTCAATGCAAGAAAACTAAAAATCTTCCTCTGTATAATATAAGTTTAGACTAGCTACACCGGTGAACTTCGTATTGCTTCAAAAACTAAATACTGTGTCCAAATTAAATAGAATCATTTTCTGAACCCACTTGTAGTAAGTAACAATTACTATGCAAAAATAAAATTGTTGTTTTACTAGTTTTCTATCATATTCTTAATAATTTTTCACCTTTCAAACCTTGTTTAGACTAAAACTATTTCAAAACAAAATACGGTAAATATCTTTAATATAGGTGAAAATAAATATAATAATGTCATTTCGTTTGATTATGAATAAGAAAAAAGGGATAATGTTCCTATAAGTCTATACGTATTGAATTCCTTGTGTGAGCATTATTTTAGGAGATCCACCGCTCCTATACGCCAATAAAATTACTTGAAAGCTAGTATCCGAAATAGATATTTCCGATGGATGCCCATGATCCATAATAATCCGAAAAAAAGGGAATAATTCTTAAAATCCAACGACTTTAACAGAACTACTAAAAGAAATATTAAACGGTTTTATTTCGCAATCGTAGCTTGAAAGCTTGTACGAAAACTCATTAAATTAACTCGACGGTCATTAAGTCAAGAGATTTCCTAAAATAATCAATTAACTATAAATTTTTATTGTATACATAATATACTGAAAAAATATACTGTAAGTATACATAATATACTGTCAATTAAAATAATAGTAAACTGAATAATAATCAGAACAGTATACATACAAATTTATGTATACCTTTTTTTAATAGCATAACAAATTTAATTTAATAATGCATATTTAATAATAAATTTTTAAACTCACACGATTTGTATATGTAAATAATAGTATAATAGTAATAAATAATGTATAAATAAATAGTTTTAAAATAATGCACGAACAAGACCCGGTTACATATAATTATAATATTTAATTTATTCTAAACTAGTTGTCACATTGTTTGTGATTGTGTACCTTACCATTTATTTTGCTCTACATCACCTTAAGGTTGACTTGTAGGAAATGCCTCAGGCATTTAGCCCGCCTTTTTAAGTTTGTGCAGAAAGAGTAAATAAAAAAAGTATATTGAAACAGTGAATGTATTGCTAATAGCATTCTCTATACATATAATTTTTATAAAATATGATAAATATTATGCTCAAATGTATAAAAACATTATATAATGTGTGGAAAATACACAAATTATAATAATTGAAAATACAAAAATGAACTACTTATTTTCATTTTATTATATTTCGATACGTGTGCTTTTTTTACTATTACGTCTGTTAATAATTACCTATATTTAGAAAGTTAATATCTGTAATATTTAAAGACTAGTTCAAGTAATAATTATGATATTAGGGTTGATCAATGCAGTACTCCGTGCAGTATTCACGAGTATATTTTTTTCTTTATTCCTATTAAGATAACATTTTGTATGTAAATAATTAATGAAATAAAAAAGAACATTGTAAAAAAGTTGGTCAGCATGAAATATTTTCGTCCAAGTTCATTCGAAAACAGATTCGAATTAGTTTATCTGTGTCAATTTAGCAAAAAAAAATTGACTTTACTTTTATTTGTTACTTTTTTGCTAGAAAATGAGGTACTTGATTGTTTGCGAGTAGTTAAAAATAGTTTAAGAGACTACTTCGAGAAAAACCTCATCCTTGTCTGTCTCTTTGATTTCGTCTCGTTTTTTCTTTGTTTTTAAGTAAGTACTAACCGTACTAGCAGTTTAGATTGATGAATAGATGGATCAACTCAATTTCTTTCTAGGTAACATAAATCAATTTTAATATTGTCAGAGACTCAAAGTGTGAAATTACACAAGTAAGTTTCATCAAAGTCAGACTAATTACAGCGCTATTCACGAGAACTCCCTAAATATATTTAATTGTAAGAGCTTTTACCCAGTCCAATACTACGCAAAACGTTTGAGAGGGCGCGAACACTTAAAATCACTAACTAACAAACGATTTTGTACAAAGAACAAGTTCAAATAAGTTGTAATTGATAAATATGTGAGTCACTTCGCAGCCGGAAAATATATGTAAATTCAAAATTTTTATAATAATCGTAATAGTTTTCGTATCATAAAAATCTTTTTGTATTAATTGTAATAATGTAATATCTTTTTGTATTAATAAACAGTGAGAATGACTATTGAGTCATTCTCACTATTTCAATATTGACAAACACATTATTAACATAAGATTGGAATAGCCTTTCGGCTTTACATTCCCTCTTAAGAAAAGACAATCGTAACGGTTGTATATCGTAAATGTCGATTTATATTAATATCTAGTAAGATATTCCCATAATTATGGATTATTTTGATATCGCCATAATATATTTAGCTGTGGAATCATAAGAAACAGACATATTGAATTCATAGTATTGTAATGGATAGACCGAATAACTAATTACAAAGGACCTTTTATTTTGCTAACACCTCAGTGAAATATTGTAATTGTGATCATATAAAAAATAACTACTACCCCAGTAAATGAAACTTTCGGATTTCAAATACTACGAGAGAGTAAAGAATGAAAAATTCGAAATACAATCCGTGTACTCTCTTTTTCGTCTGGTGTGCTCTAATTCACGTACCTTTTGTTTATGTCATAGGATAGGTAAGTTGATGATATAATAACCCCATTATATGAATAAAATTCTATATTAATCCATGAAGAAACTTGGGAAAACCTATTTTAATTGTAATCTGACTTAATCTAATAATTATACAACAGCGTATTCCGTTTACACAATACAAATAGTTTTATACCGCATCTGAAACTGCACTAACAGACGGTCATTTCCTCTCTATTGCAGCTATTGCAGGCATATAGCCGGGCCGGGATTGAGGTCACGAATCCAGGTCAGTGCCAGGCCTTGGCAAAGCCAGACCTGTTGATAGCTGGCTTACTTTAAACACAGAAATGTGATAATATAAAATGAATTTCATACATAAGCAACTACTTTGACATTTCTACAAATTTTAAAATTGTTATTTCGAATACTTGATTAATAAAAAATAAATAAATAAACTATTGGAAATATAATTAATATATGATATGTAAAGTCATAAATTGACTTTATAAAGTCACCTTATTATCAAAACCACGTCGATAAATTGGAATCAATAAAGAGGCGAACTCTCAAAATGTCGACCATAAAACAAGACTTTAAAACGTTAGCTCTGTTTTTGTAGCGAACGTTTTCGTTTCTTTTTCTTTTTGTTTATTTGTTTCGTTTGAAGAGTGTCTATGATCGCCGAAAAATGCACGGGATTCTTGTATATAATATTGAATTGGATTACATCAATATATTTGCTATCGGAAATTCACTTCAGAACGCCTGTTAGATTGCCTAGGTTACTGTACTCATTTAGTGTGCCAATTGATGCCAACAATTTGTCATTAACAATCCAATACATAGAATATGCCGTAACTTTAATGAACTTCATATAAATAATGATAATTTAACAGTACCTCTAAAGTTCATCTTTAAATGTTTGCCTTGATTTTGTTTTATGATGTTGTGTACACATGTCATTGGAAGTACAACTTGACTTGCTGCATTGTTATGTGATGACTTATTTATTCATGTTATTGTACTTCTGTTTGTAAACTAAATAATAAAATATGAATTAACAAATTTGCAATTTTTGAGTTATTTCGTTTTGCGATTCAAGCAACGTGAAATGTAATTGTAAAGCTTTGTAAGGTCTATAATAAATAAATTGACACTTTATTGCTCACACATAATTATTAATATTAAGACAACAATATTGGTACTAATGCTAGGGTGGACAAAGGCAAAAACTTCTGCTATCATTTATCAGAATGTAATATATTTTCAGTAGTCACAATAAGTACATTGTAACATAATAGACTAACAGCGAATTAGAAGTTTTGTTGTTTACCTTTAAAGATAGAAAACAAAATTTACTGAGTAAATTTACTAGACTTTGATTGGTGTTAGGAAATTAATCTTTAAATAAAACTACACTTACTACGTCCATTCTTCGAAAAGTAACTAGATAATAATAAAGCCTCTTTACTTCACTTAACTACAGCCTAAGTAAAGTAAACACAGATTTCCGAAGTGGCATTTCAACGGAACTGTAATAAATGGTTTTATACCGTCATCTCAACAGACTTTCAGACAGAATATTTAATAATCTAATCCGATTGTGATAATTGTCATGACATTGAAATTGGACTGCTATTGCGTTAATCTAAAATGCAAATATCTTTATTAATAACGCAAATATACACACATAATTCAAGCCAAAAATAATATAGTTAAAACCTACCTTTTGGGAAGTGCTATTCCATTGTACGTCGATGTTATAAATTGAAGTATCAGTTTGTGTCAAAATTAAAAGGATAAATCAATACATTCTTAATGAAAAATAGTTAAAAAATCCACTTTGTTCCTGCTACTCTGAGATGGGATTCGAACCTATGACCTTATACAATACGGGCAATTGCTCTAACCACAGAGGTATCCAGAACCTAACAGTACTGACGGATTTTTCAAGCACTTACTGATATCCGCTTCGTTATGCTTTATCATTTAAAGTTTTGTACTATTATTGTTTCTAATTCTGAAAACCTATTACGATATTATTTTACCCTTCTATTTTATATTCTATAAATTAACAATTATTTATTAATTGTTAATCAGCAATGATGCGGCGTGGTTCGATGGCTATGGCTGGCGGCGGCGAGCCCTTGATCGTGGTGGAGGAGAGTGGTTCTGAAGACGCGGAATCATCACCTCGGTCTAGTGCACCAGCTCGTGGCCTCTCCATCGATCAGGAATCCCCACCAGACCCATACCATCTATCGCCATGGCGCGACACTCGCAAGCACTCGCTTCCAACACCGTCTTGCACTACAGGCCCTACTGCAAGTCAGGTAAAACATTCAATGTTCTTCTTTACGCTGGTATAATCATGAATATTAAATAAAAAAATAAACTCTTATGCGTTAACCAATGAAAATCATTTATTTTATTATTAGTTTTTATCTATTGAATTTATTGTTATGAAGCAAATTATGAAAAATATGACCGCATCAATTCCTCCAAATGTATTAACTGACTAAAGAAAATTCTTCCAAAGGTTATTGATAAAAAAAATCTTAGGGTTCTGTTTCATTTCACTACATAGGTACGCCGCCTATCAGAGCGAGGTGAAAGCGCAGCACGTGAGGCTCGTGAAGCTGCTTTCTTGGCCACCTTAAGTCAAGCTAAAGAAATAATGTAATATTTTCGACACTCAATTGTTTTTTATTCTATGTTCTGCATGTCAAGGAATAAAAGCCCATTATATTTTTTCTATCTGTTTTTTAATAACTAATTCATTCTAATATCAGCAATAATCTACAGTCCACCTAAGAATCGTACATTGGTCCATCTCACCGGTAAGAATTAAGTTATATATAACAAACAGCAAAAGAGAAAATACGTTTCGTTCAAATCTCCAATATCAAGCAATGTTGCAAGAAAAACGAAACGCAAGGGTACGTACTGATATGCGAGCAAAAGATCAAACTGTGCGAATTTTATCGTGGTAGTTTATTGGCGCAATTTAGAGATAAAAGAAAAAATCGACCAATAAGCGGCCGGTGCGGCACAGTCAAGCGGCAGCGGTCCAGTGTGCAGCGAATCAACGATCACAGTTTTCTTCCCTACTCGCCGGGCGGAAGTTCCGTCTGCAATTGTAAAGGCAAGCGAAAGGAAGCGTCTCTTGAAGCATTTTTTTGGTCAGAGTTTAGTCGTGAAAAGCTATTTTTTATTGCAAAGTGCAAGAGCAAAAGTGTAACATCATTATATTAGGAACTATAAGGTGTTTAAATCCTATTACTCTTGGAGCTATATTATTTAAGCCATATTCGTAGTCTACCCAATTTTGTAAGATATTTATAACCTCGCGTTCGTTAGTATTTAAAAATGGCGGATGCGCAAAAAAGGTCAATTGCAAGCCGGGGCTACGTAAAAGGAGCAATAACAAGGATTTATAATTTTACCTTGAATAAGGTTGAAGTTGAGAGTACCAGTAAGGAGACCCTGATAATAAAGCGGAATAGATTATTAGCAATGTTCAAAGAGTATGAGCGATGCCATCAAGACATTTTAGCTTATAATACTGAGGATACTGAAGACATATCTGTTACAGAAAGTCACTATTTTTCTAGTTTATCTATTCTAAATGATGCAATTAAAAGGTACTCTAATTGTGTACAACAAGAAAATAATCTGGAGTCAGGTAATGAACAAAGAAATAATAAAGTAAAATTGCCTTCTATTAATATTCTTATCTTTTCTGGAAAATACTCCGACTATATTAATTTTATTGAAGTGTTTAAATCAGTCATTCACAACGACAAAAGTTTAGACTATTGGATTACTTAAGCAGGCGAGCGCTTGCAATGGAAAACACTGAGCCGGAGATGCCTGAGACCAACAAGCGTCTATCTACAACAGCGTCCTACAATAAAAAGGTAGTTTTGGCAGCAACAAAGGCAGCACTGCAGTGTCTATACCGTAAGTGTTATGATCATAAATTATATTTATGTCAAAAATTTAAATCATTGCCAGCAAGTGAAAGGGTTGATTTTGCAAAGCATGAATATTTATGTAAGATATGCTTACATAAACATGTGGGTAAATGCAAGTTTCACTTTAGGTGCGAACAATGTAAAAATAATCATAACACATTGTTGCATTTTGAAAAATCTAGTCCAGTAGTTTTATTATCTGGTAATAAATCAAATATGAATGCTTTAATTCCAACAGCACAAGTGAAAATCTATGCAAAAGATGGAACAGAGGTACATCTTAAGTGTATTCTAGACTCGGGTTCTCAAGTGTCTTTAATTACCACAAAGGCAATTAATGTCCTGGGGTTGACACCTCAACAAACTGATATAAGTCTATTTGGTGTCACAGAAAGTGAAAATAAAATTAAATATTGTATTCCATTAAAAGTTCCATTCTTTAACCTGTGCATTTAATACTATTATAAATTGTCATGTTGTGGACAGAATTACATGCAATTTGCCACAAAAACTTTTTGACACAAAGGATATAAATATTCCTCCTGGTGTCACATTGGCAGATACAACTTTCAATCAACCATCCGAGATAAATATGCTGATTGGTGTGGATGTCTTTTTTCAGATTCTCCTGCCGAATGAAGATTTTGGGGAGGAATCATCTGCAAGCAATTTTAATAAGTATTCACCGTCAACGTCACCACATATAATTAATACATGTTTTGGCCACATTGTTGCTGGGACTTGGGTTGGAAAGTGTAATCTTCTAAAAAATAAGGTTGTATCGCTTCTCTGTACTAAATGTGACTCTGATATTAGTAAGTGTATTAACAAGTTTTGGGAGGCAGAGAGTGTGCCACAATTATTATTTGAAAAGAATTCAGAACAGGACTTAGCTGAAGATATTTTTAAAAACACAGTTAAATTAGAAAATAACAAATTTCAAGTTGATCTGCCTTTGAAGGTGGAACGCTGCAAAATAAATGAGATATTAGGTAGCTCATTTGATCTAGCTTTACATAGGTTTCTGAGTTTAGAGAAACGGCTACAAAAAAGTGGCAATTTATTAAAGGAATATCAAAAATTTATTGATGAATATATAGAGCTTGGTCATGGACATTACATAGATATTAACTCATATGATTTCAGTAAGGATCCAATTTATTTTCTGCCCCATCATGCAGTAATAAATATACACAGTAAGACTACACCTGTAAGGGTAGTGTTTGATGCATCGATGAAAACAAGTAAAAAGGTTTCATTGAATAATATTTTATTGAACGGTCCAATAGTACAAAAAGATTTATTTGACATAATTTCACTGTTTAGATTTGGAGAATATACATTAAGCTCAGATATTAAAAAAAATGTTTCGCAATGTTTTGGTTAATCCAGAGCACACTTCACTACAGAATATTCTATGGCGTCAAAATCCAAATGTGCCCCTTCGTTGTATTCGTTTAGATACTGTCACATATGGTATGAAGCCATCAAGTAGCTTAGCCACACGCTGTTTGTATGAACTTGCACAAAGGCATGAGCACAAATATCCTTTAGCTTCTGTTATTTTAAAGAACTGCTGTTATGTTGATGATGTTTTATATTCATGTTCAGATTTGCACAAAATGCTTGAAGCTAAACAACAATTGCGTGAAATATTAAGTTATGGCAGCTTTCATTTGCATAAGTGGGCTTCTAATACACCTGATATTTTGTCTGATATTCCAGAATGTGAGCAGCAATTTACAATGTTTGATCTTCAAAAGGATAGTTATAGCATGAAAGCTTTAGGTTTGAAATTAGATGTCAAAAAAGATTGTTTTATTATAAAAGCACCAAATAATTTTAAGGTTACTAAGATTACAAAAAGAGAGGTTCTTAGTTCAATATCTAAGTTCTATGATCCTATGGGATTTATAAGCCCAATAATAATAGGAGCAAAGGCAATTATACAAAAAATTTGGTCACATAATATTGGTTGGGATGAGGTATTACCTAATAAGTTAGCAGAAGAATGGCTACAATTTTCATATAGCTTGCTTGAAATGGAGCCTATTAGCTTACGACGTCACATACCAATCGAGAGTGCAATTTCATTGCAGCTTACAGGTTTTGCTGATGCATCTAGTAATACTGGGTACGGGTGCTGTATATACATACGCGTGGTCGATAGTACAGGTAACGCTGAATTGCATTTACTCTGGTCAAAATCGCGAGTTAATCCACGTGCAAATCCATTAACGATATCTAGATTAGAGCTTAATGCAGCATTATTATTATCTATTTTAATAGAAAGAATTTATGGAATTTTACATAATAATATAAGGATAGATAATGTGTATTTATTCACAGACTCAGAAATTAATTTAGCTTGAATTAGGACTGAGTTAACCAAACTACATGCATATGTAGCGAACAGAGTGAATGTAATTTGTCAAAAAACTGATAAATGGTCTTGGCTATATGTACCATCTTTAAGTAATCCTGCTGATTTAATTAGCAGAGGTATAAAACCACAAATGCTTCCAAAATGCTCCCTCTGGTGGAACGGACCGGAGTTCCTTCAAAGTAATTACAGTTTTGATAATGAAAGAGATTTACCTGTCGATTTACCTGAGTTAAAGACGGTCAAGGATACCAAAAGCAAGGTAGTATTAACAACTGTTGTGGATAGTAATATATTTAAGTTTCTTGAAAAATATGTATTACGTATGTAGGTTCTGTCACAATTTAAAAAGTAATATAAAAAGATAAGATATCAGCTTATGAACTACATCATGCTTTGAGTTTAATTATTAAATATGAGCAGTCAATTTATTTCTATGATGAGTTACAGTCATGGCGAAGAAAAAACTGCATAGAAGGCTCTTTAAAAGCTTTGCATCCGTTTGTAGATAATGATGGTTTGATTAGAGTAGGTGGACGGTTAGATAATGCGGATATTCCACTCTCACAAAAACACCCCATAATTCTACCAAAAAAATCACGAATCACGGAGTTAATAATTCGTGATGAACATATTCGATTGTTACATGTAGGTCCTAAGTCACTTTTAGCTAATTTAAACCAAAGATATTGGTTAGTAAATGGTATAAGGCAAGTAAAAAAAGTACTACATAAATGTATGACATGTTTTAGGCTCAAGGCTAATGCAGCGAAGCAGTTAATGGGGTCCTTGCCTCAACACCGTGTGAGGTCTTGTAGACCATTCCAAAAGGTTGGCATTGACTTTGCTGGGCCAATTCAAGTAAAAAATTCTAGAATAAGAAAGGCTTTGGTCACTAAGGGATATGTATGTATATATGTTTGCTTTGTAACAAAGGCTATCCACTTGGAATTAACTTCTGATCTTTCAACAGAAGCTTTTTTAGCTTCTTTTAAGCGTTTTATTAGTAGAAGAGGTTTGCCCAGTGATGTATTTTGTGACAATGGCGGTTGCTTTCGAGGGGCAAGGAACCAACTAGCTGAGTTGTATAAGCTTCATAATACAGTTAGTCATCAGACGTTAGTGCAGGGATATGCTGTTAAAGAGGGTATAAATTTTCATTTTACACCAAGCTATGCTCCAGTTTTTGCAGGCCTCGCAGAAGCAGCTGTAAAGAGTATGAAATTTCATTTAAAAAGAATAGTTTTAAATGCTTTATTAACATTTGAACAATTATGCACAATTATGTCAAATAGAAGCTGTGTTAAATTCGCGCCCAATATTGCCCCTCTCCCAAGATATAAATGACTACTGTTATCTTACTCCAGGTCATTTTTTAATTGGGACAGCTCTTATTATGTATCCAGAAAAAGGTTTTTCTCAAACTGTAACTAACAGGTTAGATTTGTGGCAACAATGTACTCAGTTGAAACAAAGGTTTTGGAATGCTTGGCATAAGTACTATTTGAATGCTTTACAAAATAGGAATAAATGGTTTAGAAGTATGCCTAATGTTGCAGTAGGCTCTTTAGTAATTATGAGAGATGCTGGTACTGCTCCTTTCGTGTGGCCCATGGCTCGTGTAGTTAACGTGTATCCTGGAAAGGATGGTAGGGTTAGAGCCTTACAGTTGAGAACGGCTGATGGTAAAATTATATGATCGGTCATTGCAGAGCATAAGCGTTCTGCCAATTGAATAAAGAACATAATTGTTTTTGTTAAGTATGTGTACTTTAATTTTTTTGCCTGCTGTGTCAGTTAATAGGTATAGGATATGTTTATAACTTAAAAGGAAGTGTTTTAGTTTAAAGGAAACTGTTAGTTTAAAAAAAAAAAACATGTTTTATCTTACAAGCTCCATAATATTACTTTGTAAAATAATTTTTATAACAACATGTTATTTTATGTTGCAATGTATGAATATTATTTATTTAAGTATCAGTAAAATAAATACTTATGATTATTAGTTATGTTTAGATTCATTACTATGATTATAACAAAATATTAGTTAATAGTAATTTAATTTTAAGTTAAATATTTTGATTATAAAATGAGTATTTTGATTATTTCTGGTAACTTAAGTAATAATTATTTAATGTTAAAATAAAATAGCTTTTTCTGGGGCCGCAGCATGTTGCTGGCACAACACAAGTAGATAAAGAAATAATGTAATATTTTCGACACTCAATTGTTTTTTATTCTATGTTCTGCATGTCAAGGAATAAAAGCCCATTATATTTTTTCTATCTGTTTTTTAATAACTAATTCATTCTAATATCAGCAATAATCTACAGTCCACCTAAGAATCAACCAGGCGGAAGACGGTAAGAGACGTTTATGTTTTATTACTACAGTCGACCAAAACACAGCACTTTGGTAAAACATGCTGTTTCTTACAGGCACTCCGTAGTGACAATATCTAGAGTACCCCAAGCTCTGTTTGGGCGTGGGCGCCGAGAATCGATTGCAGCTTTCCCAGCTCTCGCTCGACGCAGGGACTCTGGATCTAAGAAATGTGAGTAGACTTAAATAATCGTTTTCCTGATATCAAGAATCATTCAGTAAAGTGACAATATTAAATATAAACTTTTTAAAATTAATTGAGGACCTGGTTGCAGGTCCACCAGCAACGGACACGCTCGGTAGTACACATAATCTACAACTAGACATCATGGATGATATTGTACAAGCTCGCAAAGTTCGCATGCGTCTTTGGAATACATCAAATGAACGAGTCTGCGAGGTGCAACCACTCGATGAACGTTCACCTATGAGTGGCTCAGTGAGGTACACAAATCGAGGACGACGGCACTCCGACTATGTAGGTTCCCCGTTACCTCCAATCCCTGCTCGCCGTCGAGCTTCTGAAATGCCTCCTCCCATTCCACCGCGCACTGGCGCTGGCGTCATATGCACGGACACTGACCTTCATCATATGCTAAATGCGCTTACGTCGTCCGCCACCGAAATCGACCGCTGTGGCAAGCCTGATCGTACAAGGCGTCTCTCTGACATGCGTTCTAGCAGTTTTGATGCTTCTACACTTCGTGATAAACCCCCAGATTCTGGCACGGTTTGGTTTACACGCCGACACCAAACTCTAGCTACTAAAAACAAGGAAAATGAAACCAAAAAGGCCAAAGTTACATTTGCTCCAGATGCTAAGCAAGCTCCAGGAGACGCAGCAGCTGTCGTTTGGGATCGTCCATCAGGTTCTGTGGTGGATGCCAGTGCATTAGGAAGTGCCATAGAAGTATTTTTAAGAAAAAGTGGAGCCGGCGATGCAATCCCCTCTTCATCTGGCACACCTCCGGTTAAAGATACAATAAAAACAACTGAAATTCGCTCAAAACCGCGAGACATTCCAGGCCCGAACCGACCTCCGCCACCACCACCGCCCCGTGCTGAAGGCGAACGTTGGTATATTAGCAGACCTGAAGAAGAAGAGGTAACGGAGGGTTGCGACGCATCACTCTGCTCTTCGATAAAAGACCTTTTTGTGTAGGCGCCATTACGCGTTTCAAGCTCTTGTAAAATATTGTCTATAGTTGTGGAAAACTCGTACCTCTAAGGCGAGTGTGAAGCAGGTACGATTGCAGCGTACCTATTGTAATTTATGAATCTTTCAATGTGATAGAATACGTGCCGACGCCGGTCGTTAAGTCGACTACGACCGGCGCCTGCTTTGCGTAAAATTATTTTTAGAATAAACTCTATTTTCATTGTAAATTTTTTGATATTAGCGATCAGAATTGACTTATTGTTAGATAGAGAATTATATTCGTGATGTGGGTGCGCGTTTTCTACGTCGCGTCGGTCTCCCAACGCGCACCCGTCCCCGCCCCGTCTCGTTCGACAATCTGTGTCTTGTAATCCAGTGTTACCATTAAACAATTAAATTTTATCATATAGCAGACATTATCGTGGAGACGTCGGGAGAAACGTACGCTTAATAGATGAAGACGGCTTCCAGTCGTCTTTTATCAATAAAAGTTTTTATCGATGTTTCTTGGTCTTTTATTACAATTTCTTTTCAATCCTTTAGCTATCTCTAACGACTCAATTTATTATGATCTTGACTCTCTAAGATAAGTTTAATATTATTAGAATTTCTACAATAAATTTCAATTTACAATAATAACTAATCTTTAAAGCCAATATTTATGCAAATCTGAGCTGAAGTAGGCACTTAGTTTACAGTGCACAGAGAGTTTAATACAAAGAAAGGACGCATTTAAAATCGATATTTGATATTTAACTGACTGTTTCGTCGCCTATGTTAATTTAACTTGCGTTTTTTTTTAATACTATACCCTAACACAGAGCACGATGAAGTTCACCATGTAACAAATGTTGATATTAAGACTATGCCTCCAGTCCTAATTTCATTTCAGATAACATTATTATCAAAGGAAAATAACTAAAATATTATTAACAATTATCTTCATAGAATGGAAAAAGACACGAGCTCTCATTACAATAACAGTTGAACTGAGAAACATCGAGAACTGCGATGCCTGAAGGCAGTGCCCGAAACGAACGAAAAAATTACATTAATAACAATGAGATATTCACATTTAAATACCTCGGTAAACTTTTTATGAAATATATTTTATCCTATTACTTAGGTATCTCATGTTTTAACATAATATAAAAAACTGTTATTATTTCGTCATCAGTTTATCGTTCGCCAGTTAATAATGGATGGAGTAAAAATAAATTATTATAATGAAACTGTACACACTCTATTTTATTGATCAAAATTATTTTCACTCAATTTTAACTTCGTCCTTAAAAGAACCAAGAATAATACACCGTACAATAATTTCATGGACGGGAGTAGAGCTTTTTTATCTCATTTTGCAAAGAAGCAACTCAATTTAAAAAAGCAATTCCCTTAAAATGCTTTTGCTGACACAAAGATATTTGCTATACAAAGAAACATTTCTGTCAGAAAATCTACCTGTGATTGCCGAGTTTTAAGAATAACGAATGATTACTAATCATAATGTAAGTAATACAGTAGGAACTAAAACAAACGTTATATTATGTAAATTATTGGGTAAACTATCCCGATAAATATTTTTTAAACCTATTCTACTAGTGAAAAAACTCATTAAAATGACTCCGAAAGCTGTTATTATAATAAACAAAAAATCCTTTCAGAAACATCTCTGGCAGCTTAATTCTCAGAATCCAGATTTTCAAATTATCTTTTAAAAAGATAAACATTAACCTTGTTATATATATAATGAATTAATAAATTAACATGTTTTGCACATAAAATGACATAACTACATAAACAAAAATACATAAACATACAGAATCATAAAGATGGCCTTATTTTTTAGGTAGCAATTTCAAAGTAGCAATTTTAGTAGAGCCCTAACCATTAATACCAATCAAAGAAATTAGCTGTGATTAAGTGCATTAAGAGGACGAAAACATAAGAACAAGTAAACAGATGATTTAATATAAATAAAACAAAAAGAATAAAATAATAGATAATGCTAGTCCAGGTAAAGTTCAATTTAAGGATAATTGAAAAAAATATATATTAGAACTCGATCAATATTAATAACATACATTTAAGTTCAAATATCAGTATTTTATAAAATCAGTAACAAACCTATGATTTAAAAACTAGTGAAGAAATAGGTTCAGTGCTCGAGTGATAATAACATATGTTTAAGTCGGGGTCGACAGTGTGGCAGAATTAGAACGTAGAGCTTATTTTCATAACACGAAGAACGGACGCCTTTTTCCTCCCCATTGAACATGACATCGTCTGGAAGAGTACGTTTTCCATATTAAAAATATTTCCTACATCCTTTTCGAATACTTTTACGACTTTACCTTTTATCACTAAACATTGTAGTGCCTATTACCTACTACCTTTAAAATTTGACATTCATTAAAGCTTAAAGGCGTCATTATACCTTAATGGACGTTTGTCCCACTGACAGACTGATATTGGGGTCAGAAAGTTAGTCGATATAATATACTACTTATTTCAATATAAAAATCATATGTAACATAAATTAATGCTAATATATGCTCGCTTTTATTGCAAAGGAAGAAGGGTTATGCTGTGGGAGTACTTTCGTTACACAAACTTTACTGTTTACCTTTGCACGGCAGAGTTACAGACTCTTTAGTAATATATATATAAGAAAAACTAATTTAGTGTCACTCAATGTCTTTTTCGTATTTAAGTCTATATTGTAATAAATTTGTAATGACTGTTTGACTCATAAATAAATAAATAACGTTAATAAATAACATAATAAATAATTATAAGTATATATACATACATAGCTAAACAAAGTATACATACATACATACATAAAAACACATTCGTAAATGAGATAACTACATTAGAAGATAGTACTCATGAACCAATCTTTAGAAGATCATTTTAAAGCCGCCAGAAGTCGCTTCTAAAGCGAAGATATTGAAACCTAGGCTTCAGATATTCTTGAATACATGGATTGTATATATTCTGAATTAACATACAGGCTTTATTCCACTATACGGTTCCCTAGGGATGAAAGTACCACTAAGGGCGCGTATTTTTGGGAACACAGCCTAAACAGTAAAATACATTTGAATACTTTATAAAGCTTAAACTTAAATTAAATTACCTATAAAAATCCGCAATTTCATAATGTCTATGTTTTAAGATTTAGACAAAAATTTCAATGCTTACACATAATAAAGTGAAAATGCATAACAAACCATATCACAGGATATAAATTACTCACAGTTAAGTCTTTTAAAGATAATTTAATAAAATATTAAAAATCCTAATAGACAATAAAGTAGATATTATTACGGATCTGAGCATGAAGTTATATAGCCTGAAAAAATTAAGATAAATTAATATCCAGACCATATCCACCCATCTTCTACATTGTCCCGAGTGGGAATAGAACCCGGGACCTATTAGGCCATGGAGGTTATTGGAACATCAAAGTTAACATAAGGCTAAATTCAAGAGTTAATTCTATTCTAATACAGCTTAATACCTTCTTTATTGGGTGTATCAGTACAGTACACAAAAGTATAATAGCACTATTAAACTCCTTTAAGCCATTTAAAACAAAAACAACATTCTCAAAAGCTTCGATTGTTCAATACAATGTATAGTTTATTTATTTTATATACGTTATCGTGAAGTTGAAAAATGAAATCGCGTTACGGACTTGTCTCTTTCATTTAACTTGAAATTTACAAAAAAATCCAATAGTGTAGAATATTACATGACTGTAATAGATAAATTATAGATAAACTAAAATTTATGAAAACATATTAACAAAAGCTGTAATAATTTTTTTCGAAATCTTGAAATGTATGAATAATTTGATCTTTTTTTTTGTTAAATTGTATTATTGTACATCAACCTTTTTAGTACAAATCTTTTTATACTGATTTCTGATTCGTTTGATTTATTTTGCCGCTTATCTTAAACTGGGTGATATAATAATAAACTAACAATAGTTGGTGAACGAAGAACGAAGTTTATCAGGGGAACCATCTATAATTGGCCTATTCCGGTTGAAATTAGTGCACCTAGCCTTGACCCTTTTATTACTGCTACACATACTATATCGTTAAACTTCCATTTATGTTTTTCTTGTAATTTCCCACTTCTGACTATGTAATTGATTGCGGTGTCTAAAGATAGCTTTACACAGAAGAGTTTTATAGTAGAATTTTGGAGAAAAAAATATATAAAGCATGGGAAGAGCAAAAAATGTTTGTCAAAGTATATAAGGGACAAGTTATCACTTATTAATCTATTCACCATTTTACGCAACAGTTTATAAGACCTATGTAATATATATTATCATAATCAGCCTTTTAAAGTTCCTACTGATAGGACCTTTGTTATGAATGGAATCAAATCTAATAAGGAGAATGGGTCATGATTCACCAAAAGTGCCCCCTGCGGATTAGTAAGTATTAACCACTGCATATGCAGCCAGGACCAACGGCTTAGCATGACTTGAAGCTCATATTAAAATTTTGGTACACAACACACACACGCACACATACAGCGGATAATGTTTGCCTGTATATGTTGCACCAAATTGGATAATTCTTTATTTTATGTGTTCCTTGTTGTCATGACAAGGTTTATATATAAGAGAAGTTCGCCGGGTCAGCGAGTAATATATATTTTTTTTGCGTTACAATTTTACCCTTTATTATATCTGAGTGACTCAATTACAGTGAAAGGCTGTTAGAAGTATAATTGATTCTTGTCGTCTTTATCACTGTCAAAGAAAACTCCATCGCGCAAAATATACATTAAAGTTATTTCACGGTTCCATTGTCGTGTTGGTCCTTCAACGAATAAAAAAACAGGATTCTTTGTGTGACCGAGAATTGTAGTTTACCTACTCGTGGAAAATTGGAAAGTTCCTTACTGTCATAAGAGATAGGCGAACACTGTATTTAGTTTGGAAAATGTTACATAAAAAGATTGGTAGACTTCGGATT